AACTTTTGCCATCACAAATAGATGCAATTGAGTCGCTAATGAAGCGAAATTAATTAAATTTTTTTTAGCCACATTCCGTCGCAAAAGCCTCGCAAATATACATTCAACGCAAGTTCGACACAACCTATTAAGTATTTGCGACGGATTTGCGAGAATACGAAGCTTTTACAACGCAAAAAAGAAGCAAATTAGATTTGGAGCAAACTTAGGGTTTAGGGATCAATCGTACCCTATAGCAAGCTACCAAAATAACTGTTTCAATGTAAATTGATAGTTCAAGCTAAATTTAAAAGCACATATATAAGAAATTCCAGAAATCGTCAAAAATAATCAATTGAACATAGTTTGTTGATATAGTTACATGTACATTAGTCTATTAATTGAACAATGGTGTTGTTTCAAAATGATATTATCAACTACGTTCCATCGAACAATATATGGTCTATAATCACCAGTGATTAATAAACACATGAGAGACGGTTTTATGAAACTAACCAGAACCATAACATTTTAGGGTATAGGGTTTGTAATTTTGCTTCTGATTTGTGGTTTACCGCCGCAAATTATTCGCAATTATTAAGTTTCGCAGCAAATTAGTCGCAACGTTTAAATTTCGCCGCTAAACCTTCGCAAATTTGCTTTGGATTTGCGTCTCAAAGCCGCAAAAAAGTTGCAATCTATAAAAGTTTGCATTTTATACATTTTCGGTGAAACACATATTTATTTTATAAATAAGTTTCATAGATATATAAAACACCCTTATTAACATTATTATACATGTTCGGTTCTGATTTGCGGTTTATAGCCGCTAATTAGTCGCAATTTTTAAATATCGCTGCAAATTAGTCGCAATATTTAAGTTTAGCCGCAAATCTCTCGCAAAGTTGCTTCGGATTTGCGTCTCAAAGTCGCAATCTATAAGAGTTTGCATTTTATACATGTTCGATGAAACACATATTTATTTTACAAATAAGTTTCATAAATATATTAAACACCCTTATTAACATTATTATACATGTTCGGTAAACACACATTTATTTTACAAATGAGTTACGTAAATGTATATAAAACACCTTTATTAACATTATTTATACACACTTCACACGTTACATAACACACGTCTCTCAATTTTCTTCATCGTCCACATCGTGCTCGGAAACGTATGTCTCTCCATTTTCGTCTCTTTCCTCAGAGACAATTTCCTCGCATTCATCAAACTCGTCAGAATTCCCTTGACCATCAGAATCCTCGAATATCACTTCAAGTCCCATATGTAGCGGGTCAATTCATTCAGGTG